AACTTTCTAAAACTGATATTCCTGGATGACAGATTTTGTATCAGTATTAAGGTCATTCGTTTTGATAACATTATAAACTATTTAATTCACCAAGTCTGTTTCTGCTATATAAATCTAATAATTTATAATGTTTTCAAATCTGATGACCTTTCATTACTGATACAAATCTGTCTATCATACATGTCAGTTTTGGAAGGTTTTAACAGCATTTAAATTCGTGAATATTTTACATTTTGCCTACATTTACTACTTATGTATTTGTAAAGATTGTTAATTCACTTCGAATATATAAATTATTAGAACACAATGTATTCCATTAATGAATTGAATGTTTTAGTAAAAGATACATACTGTTAAACCTCCCAATGCCGATATGTTTGGTTGACAGATTTATATTAGTATTGAGAGATCATCAGATTTGAAACATTATTAGATAGAGGAAATAGATCTAGTTTTATGAGATTTGACAGGTTATCAATTTTGACAGTATTCTTCTTTGTTTTTAACAAATTGAATATTTATTTAAATTTTATATTATTATATATAATTAAGATAAAAAAAACCTTAAAATAAGGAAAAAATCTTAATTTTATATAATAATATAATAAATATATAAAATGAAAAAAGGTATAAAATAAAATATCTATAAAATAAAATAAATATATAAAATGAAAATAATTATAAATCTTCTACAATTTTATCTATTTCCGCAATTGGATCCCATTCAATATTTTCTTGAATTTGATTATTTATAGTTTCTGTTTCACTATAATATTCATTATCATTATAATCCTCATCCATACTAAATTCTAATTCTTCTAAATCACTACAAAATTTATTTAAATTTATAGTATTGCTAATTAATAAATTATCTTCTTCATCAAATATTTTATCTTCCTCAACTTCTTCATTTATAGTATCTTCAGTAATTTCAATAAAATCTTCATCTAAATCCAAATTTTCATTAACTAAAATTTCATATACCTCATCACTTGTTTTTTCAATACTATAATATGGTAATTCCTGCTTAGCATGTGAATTATAATATGATGCAAGTTTTTGCATATTTTCAATTTTATGCAATCCCAATCTATTTCTTCTTTTTCCATATAGCCATCCTAATCTAGACCATACACATTCAACTCCAGCAGTATGTGGAATAATAGAAAATAATTTCAAAGCTAACTGAACAATATAATCCTCATTTTTTGGAAAACTATCTTCAAGTGAAATCCACCAAACAATTGGATTTTCAGAATTACTATATAATATATCAAATGGCTTTTCTCTTATATGATACAATTTCATTTGATATAGTAATTCTTTTCTTGCAATATCTGATTTATTCATTATACTAAAAATTTCATTAGCTAATAATAAAATATTTCTAAGAGCTCCACGTTCCCAATATGCTTCTAAATAATTTATAAATAAAAGTTTAATATTATTAATAAATAATACAAAATGCATCTATAATATTTAATATTATTATATTTGCAAATATTTAAATTATTAAATTTTTAAATATTTGTAAATATATAACTAAAATTTTTAAAATTTTAAATTAGAATAATTATAAATTAAAATATAAAATATCTATAGTGCATTTTAATAAATAAGTTTAATTTTTCTTACCATTATATTTAGGATGTAAAAAAAAACATAACAAATATATAGCACTATCAAATTCATTATATCTTTTGTTAAAAATAGCAATATATTGATTATGAAATATATTACTATTAAAATTAAGCTTATTAATTGCTGCTCCAAGATGAATAAGTTCACAAAAACAATCAGCAAGAGAACAAAATTGTGATTGTAAAGTTATAATTGCTTTTTTAACAGGATATAATATATATGATAATATGCGAATATTATCAAAAAAAGCATAAGATCTTAAAATAGAAAGAATAGCAGGTGAAAGTATATCTGAAGAATTATATTTAAGCTTTTATAAAAATAAATTTATATATATTAAAATATAAATATTAATAAAATTTAAATAAATAATTTAAAACTAATACAAAATTATAAAAAATTTATTTTTTTATAATTTTTATAATAAATTTAAATTATTAAATTTAATATAAATATTAAATATAATTACTTACATTTTCTAATGCTTCTTTATAATTAAAAATAGAATTAACACAATCATACATAGTATACCATCTTGTATTAATATAATGTTTTAATCCTCCACCAGAAATATTTAGCTTTTTTGCTTCTTCTTTTAATTTTGCACCTATATAAAAATATTTTAATTATATTAAATTATTAAATAAAATTTATAAATTAAATATACCTGCTTGATGACTTTTTTTAAAAAAAGTTACAAGTGTATTACATTTTGTTAAAATTTTATTTGCAAAAGGAAGATTGCAAATATCTTTTGAAATTAAATTTATTGCATGAGCTATGCAACGAATATTTAAAATATTATTATATTTTGTTGAAATAATTTCTCTTGCATTTTGAACATTTGCTCCAGCATCAGTTACTATTGCAGAAAATTTGTTGCTACCAATTATTTGAATTATTTTATCTAATTCTTCAGCAATTAAATTTGCAGTATGACTTTGAGCTGATAAATCTTTTAAACTCCATAAATATTCACAATGATCTGGTGCATAAATCAAAAAACCCCAAATAGATTCATTTGATAAATTTGTCTATCCATCACATGCTATATATAAATATAAAATTATTATTATTTAAAATAGTATAAATAAAAAGAATTAATATCTCTACTCTTTTTTTTAACAATACTACACCCAAATATAACTGTGGCAAAATTGCTTTCAAACTTTGATTAAAGTTATCTTGGCATCTACACAACTAAATTTGATTAACTTTTTTTTATTTTGATTGTAAAAGGCTATAGATTTTTTAAAAAAAGGTTGATTGAATTTGGTCAAGTAGGTGCCAAGATATCTTCAAACAAATTTAAAAAAAAATTTAAAAAAATTAAAATAAATATGGTATTATCAAAAAAGAATATAAAAATATTAATTCTCTAAATAAAATATTTTAATAATTAATTAAATTTAATAAAATTTATATCTATAAATTTTAAATTTTATTATTTACAATTTGCAGATATAATTTTATTAATAATTATTAAATTATAAAAATTTTTAATTAAAATTAATTTATAAAATAAATATTACCTAATGTTAAATTATTAGAATAATCTAATTTTTGAATAATTTTAACATTTATTGCAGATACTTCTTGAGCAAAAAGGCGACCTGAAAGAACTTCATAAGAAGGAGATATATACCCTGGTCGTAATGTTTTTAAAAAATCAATAAAAAATGGATTATTAATTGTTCTCCAAGATATACCACATATAACAAAAGCTTTAATACAAGCTTTATTAATTTCATTAGTTCTTTCTATTGTAAGTTTGGAACTTTCATTAAAATCAGACATTTTTGTTTGATAAATTTTTTTAATTGATATTTCTTTTGAGTTTTTAGATCTTGTTAAAACTTTGTTTAAATAAGTTTGTCTAATATCACTTGGAACATTAGGACAATTATTTGCTAAATGTTCTTCAAAGTCTTGAGGAGAACCTTTATGTTTAGAATAAGGACAATAATTGCAAATTCCTTCATAATGCCCTTTGGAAACTTCTTTTCCTTTTTTAATATGAGTATTCCAAAGGTCCGAAGGTGGTCTGCCTCCTAATTTTTTACTTGCTTGTGACATATTCTGTTATAGTTTTAAACTTATTTGTAAATAACTATTAAAAACAGTTTCTGGTAAAGTAATATAGATTTATAATAATAGATTTTTAAATATATATAAAACTACCAAAACTACATAACCAAACCAACAGGAAAAGGTAAAAGAAATTTAGCAAAGTAAGACAATATATAGAATTGTTATGTATATGTAATACAAAAATAAAGGCCTTTAGAGGCAAAAGGAATTAGCAGAACTTTTACTTAATCAAATTCAAATTTTTATTTGAACTGATCTGCCTTTTAACTGAGACAAATTACAACAAAAATTCAAATTTTTGAGATCTTGTCCCTCATTCAATCATGTTATCACTACTAATTCTAATATAATCGCAGTTACTTGTCTCTTTTCTCTAAACATTCAGACAACACAGCTACATGATTTACCTGATTTATTCTTATTTTTATTTGTTTAGACCCAGCAATATCACCGCCTCATCTAACCTTTTTGGTGTTGCTTGGTCATTGTTTTGCAGATAAGAGCATCTCATAGTTCTTCTTGCGCCTCATCCAGGAATTTAATATACTGTAGTTGGTGATAGGGGTGTGAATCAATTCTAAAAATCAAACTCGATGATCGAAACCTAAAAATCGGTTTATGATTGATGATCAAATTTTAAATATAATATAGTTATTTCTCGCCCAATTAAGGCTTAATCTGTTTTATATAATACAGTTGTGTAAGTTAAGGGCTCAGAAAGCATATTAATATTAGAAGATATATTTAAATTAGATTCCTGATTAGTTTCTTTATCACTATTGCAAAACTAAAATATGTAAATTTTATAAAATTCGTGTGTTTAACTTTGCGATACACATATAAAACAAACCAGCCATTATAAAATAGCTAAGCATAAACAATAGGCTTAAAGTTTTAATAAAATAATGTGGATTAATAACAAATATAACTACTGAACTATTATAAAATAGCTAAGATAAACTATAGACTTGAAGTTTTAATAAATAATGCACGTTAATAATAAACATAGCAATTATAAAATAGCTAGATACAAATGATAGTGCATATTAATTATTGTAAATAGCTAGATACAAACAATAGGCTTAA